CCCACCGATCCAGTGTATAATTATATTTATATATATATATATATCTTTCTTTTCCCACGTCTTGTCGTGACATAAAAAAATACAAAGCTTTTTTAAAGAGTAAGATAATGATAACCCTTCGTACACCTCATGGCAAGTTTATATAAGCTTTTCAGCACATGTCAGATGGTAATTGATTAATAAAGATGGTGGAGCACCCTAAAATTCCGTAGCTTAATAATGTCCGAGATAGTTGACATGACACCTCTAGAATATTAATACTCTGAAATCGTATTTTTATTTTAAAAAATAAAAAGTTATAAATATTTGTTTTAAAGATTTCATGATATATTTATAACTCATGAATTTTATTTTTTTTATAAAAACAAAAGTTTAAAATAATTTTTTAATAATAATATACATAAATATCTCTTATATTTATATTAATATTTAATTAAAATATAATAAGTTTGTACAAGTAAATTAAAATCTAAAACTTCAAATATACGTGAATTCATAGAAGCTGAATTTTTTTCCTATGCTAAATCCAAAAGAGATGAGTCCTTCTCTTGTTGAACCCGAGGAAGGTTGGGTCTGTCCCATCAGGCACGCCTCATGAAAAATGTTTATTAGAATCATGTTTATTTTTATGTTTCAGAAGTATTTTTTAAATATATATAGAAAAAATGATCTAGTTATTTTTTTGAACATATCCAGTTATGATTATAATATTTTTAGGTGTACCCAAAGCTTGACATACAACTAAACTAATCATTTGGGTCAGCAACTTGAAATGTCCTTGCTAAAATATGCCTATGCTCCAAAAAAAATTATTATCATAATTTTTTTATTTAGTATTTTTTTATAAAAATATAATGATAAAAAACTTAATTCATCACTATTCCAAGGAAAAAAAAAAGCCAAAGATTCTCACATAGCAACAGTCATCTAGAAGGTGTTTTTTATCCTAGCACCTTTTTATCTATAAAAACATGTTTCCTTATATCGCGCGGAACCATTGCACCTTCCTTTATCCTAGCACCTTTTTTCCTATAAAAAACATGTTGCCTCGTATCGCACCGAACCATTAACTGAGTCAGCAAGAATCTTTTCTTTATCAACATGTGAAAAGTCTTGTTTAAAGATCGCAAGGAACAATGCCAGAGTTTTGACGTTTTGTTCTGATTTTGATAGTAACTTTAAACGTGCTGGAAAATTTCATCTCTTACCTCAACTCGCACCGACTTGGCTACAAGACTCCGCCATGTTAGTTAATATAATAAACAGCTAAGGTTGCTTCGGAGAATTAGAAAATGATGGAATCACAAGGAACCACTTCTTCCTACACCTAATATGCCCCATTAATATAAACTTTTAATATACTATTATAAAACAAAGTGACCACCTCAGAAGTATTTTGGTAAGTAAACTTTGTTCCTTTAGATTTAAAATTGAATTTGTTTTTTATTAAAAAAATTTATTTATTACTCGGTAGTTAAACACTTGGTCTGATTTTGGTACCACTGTAGGAGGATGAACTGAAGCGGGAAGTGATGGAGACAGCGTCTGAGCCATTTAAGCATCCGGAAAATCTGGTAGGCAAAGAAGATAACAGAGAATAAGTTGGATGACCTTCATATTTTCACTTCAAACAGGATGTGCAAGAAGAGGTATCAATATGAATTTTCGAGTATCTAATTCAATAAAAGAGGCCTCTTTCTGTTCTGATCCCATGAAATAAATCGTGTAATCAACAAATTCATGTATCACAAGTTTTATCCTTTTTTACCCATAATAACTATGACATTTAAAAATCTAATTCACCTTATTTTCTCACTAGCTCTAAATAAACTTTAAGATTGTTTTTACCTTGAAAACTAGAAATTCTTAGTTTATAAAATCTAAAATATCCCTGTAATGTTAACAAATAGGACTATCATCGGGATTTCAACCCTAAACCCAAGTTGTGGAAGAATTGAGCTCTCCCGTATATGTTGTGTTTTCTTTGAAGTCAGTCTCGGCTCAAATGCGTTGAATAAGTTCATTTAATGCCTCATTTTTTCTTCGCCATAGCCATTGTGATCGGTTCAATTCGCATCTGTTAGTAGTATTGATGTAGGTGAGACAATATCAATTAATTAGATATCCTAGAAATTCTAATCCCTAGTTTGACATCCACGTATACCATCTCAAACTTATCTACTAATATTACAGTTGCGTAGAACCTCCCCTCAAACCATCTATGTAAACTGGCAATAAAAAACATGCGATGCGATCCCTGCACTCGTCCAGTTGATTACACGACACGCAAATAGGGCTGGCAACTCTGCTTGTTCTAATCTGTCTATCTTCGAATGAAAGTCTATTGACGATAATCAAACAAGCTGTGAAGCCGAGTTTAGGGTTCCATTGACTTTTTTACCAGTCAACCCTTACCCTTCCCTCTCCTATTTCTTCCCAGGCACTGAAACGACCGTTTGGCGAAGCTTCTATCGTGCTCAATCATCTTTAAATTCATCATGATACGTGGTGCCACACAGGGGCGGAGTAAGGAAAATAAAAATTGAAAGGGACCCAATTGAAAGAATTGTTTTAAAAAGATTAAAATTTTAGTTATTTTATAAAGGGAGGGGCTGGGAAAAATTTCCCGACCCCTGCCACCGCCCCCCCTGGTTCAGGGATGGCGTTCAAAGATCCCAGATTCGGCGTGTTCGGCACAATCCAAATTATAATGCTGCCAGTTATATATATAAAAAATAAATAAAAATTAACAATTTAGCAAATACCATACCTTCTGATCCGTAATTTGATAGATTATTGAAATCTTTCGGCCTCAATCCTTACTGGGCTCTTTTTTCGGGCCTCAGCTTGGGATGTCGGACTCCGCAACCCTTTCTTTGTCCTTGGGCCTAATACCACTAAATCTCTTCCCTGAAAAATCTCAGTCAGAGGATTCGATTGAGAAATTATTTAGCTTTTGAACCTAATTGAGATTTTTGGATACTTGGAAGAGTGACTTTGATGTTTTCCCAATTATTATTTTCTTACAAAACCAGAATATTTTTTTTTTGTTCAATTATCATTTGATATGGAACAGGGAGTGTGGCGTCTTTATAAAGTAATCTTTTTCAAGCCAACAAAAATATTCTTAATTGTCTTAAATCCCAATGGTATTTCAACACGAAAACTTGGATGACCTTGCGGGAGATTAGCACATTTTCTTTTGTTTTCTCATTGCACGCCAAGATGGACTGTAATCGACTAGAAAATTTATCATAAATTTATCATGTAACGCGAAGCAAGGGAGGATAATTGTAGTAATTTGACTTTCCTGGCCAAGTGGCAATATATATATGTGGTTCGACCATTTCTACGAGTCAATATAATCTAAAATTTCCAAGCACGTTCTGCACCGAACTTAAAACTTTTGAGATATATATCTTCGATTTGATCGAGGGATTTCTTTGATTGCACGAGTTGGAAATTAACCTTGGCATTGATGATGCCTGTAACAAGAGCAGTGTTTCCCGACAGTTCCGTTGGCCAGATATTTCTAGCCCCTAGTCCGGTATCTGATAGCACTTCGGAAATCTCAAAACTCAAATTCAAAAGCCAGTTTCTTAGAAATCAAAGGCTGAAAGTTTTCGGCACCTCTCTGAAATTGCTCTATGCAAGAAATACAAAGATGTACGTCTATTTTCCTTTTGCAAAACTTTTCTGGGCATAACATTAATCATCCAGATGCAGATATCTTGCAGCTCTGAGTCTAATCCATGTAATGGTGCAGGGAAATGGCTGTATACAATAGTCATGGAACAGGACCTGCTCATCCTTCTTCTCCTTCTCCTTGGTGAGTTGACTTTACCAACGATCTTTAAAACAGATAAATTGCACTCTGCCCTTATATTTCATGTTCCCGGCCAGTTTAATACAACTTTATGGTGATCTACTAGCAGGAAGGGTTGGGTTCTGGGAATGCTAATATCAATAATTCTACCCTTTTGTAGAAGCAAATGGGGGCCATTACTGTTGATAAAAGGTAAGGGATCGAAAGACTCGCCTTGTCAATTCTCAATAAAAACTCACATGCTGTGAATGAGTTATGGAATCCTATGTACTTAGCTTTTAAATTGGATGTGTAGACAAAGTTGAAGAAGTGGTGGAGATAGCAGATCACGTTGCAGACATCGTAGAAGAGGTGGCTGAGGAAGTGGGGAAGGTAGCTGAAGAAGTTGCCGATCATCTGCCGGAAGGTGGGAAACTTCAAGAAGTGGCCACATTTGTTGAAAACGTCGCGAAAGAAACAGCGAAGGATGCTAATGTAGTTGATGAAATAATTGAAAAGGTACTGCCTAATACACTGTTTTCTGTCTTAGCAATTAATTACCTAACACCATATAAAACGATTGTTAATTGTGTCAGCATGAATCGTTTCCTTATATCAGGTTAAATGTATTTCTCGAAACGCAGAATCAATGCGTTAGCCTAAATGCTCGTTGTTGATGATTTTGACGTTCACTTTAGTCGTGTACCGATTCGTTTTAGTTGCGAACAACATGGTCCTAAGGCTGGATTATAACTAGCAGGAAAAAAAAATCGGCAAGTTTCATGTTCTTGCTGGCTGCCTGCTTTAAAGAAAGGATTGAAAAAAAAAAAAAGCATGCCCAACTT